GATATAGTCTAAATAATATTTACCAAAAATGGAGAATTTGAGATTTGGACACGAAATGAACAAATCTGAGAGAGAACCACCCAAGGTGGTTGTTTGTCAAATTTGAAAACTCACAGTTTTGACTAAAAATTGCAAGAATATTCACCAACAAGCGACCTCATGGTTGAAATAGCTTCGCTGTGCTATGTTTCACAAACCAATTTTAACGGACTCTGATTCGAGTTGACTGTGATGCCGACTTGACTGTGTGCTGACGCTGGTTCGAGTCACACACTTGGTGCGCATTTACAATAATTTACATAGCGTATGTTGCCGTCAGTAATAATGAAATTATTATTATTTTTAGCACAACTGACACGTACCTTTCTACTATATTATTTGTATCAGAATTCAAATGATTGAATCTTCTACCATGATCAGACCACATGAACGATATTGTCTCCCAGTTATTGATAAAATATTGTACCACTTTCGAGTATTCAGAGAATCTACTCTTGAACACCTCAGCTTTTTCTAGAAAAGCTTCTTCCTGCAAAATAAACACATGGTCATACAGATGAGTGTGCAGCTGACATGTCAGCGTCAAAGGTGCTACAGCCCAATACACTTGCAAGTCAAGCCATGAGTCACACTCAAATGATTGGCCTGCAAAAATCAAAAAGTGACATACACACATACATACACCTTAACCACAAAGGCTCACATTTTGCTTCTCACACGGGACAAAAACAACAAACCAAGTTTCAATGAAATCGTTCCAGGCATGTCCTAAACATAGGGACACTAATATAGCATTGCCTTAGTTGATTTATATTACAAGTTGGCAAGTAAAATTATCAATAATAATAAATTTCAAAACAAGAATATGGCAATGCAATAAACAATGTACTCTACAAAGATGCTATAATTAAACATTGAGTGAAGAAAAGAATAAACAGCATTTGGGGATAATTTTTTTATGAAATGGATAAACAACTTACTGTGTGACTAAATTTCATTTCTGTCATGGCATTTAATATATCATTTCTTGTTTGACCTTTTTCAAGACCACTCACACCAGATTCTCTACGCATTAGCCATCTATTTACCGCCTGAATACAATAATGATATTATACATGAATATGTGTTGACAATGTAATATTGTCAGTAGTTTATCTTTATATTCAGCAGAAGTTTTATGTAGATATGGATATCAATACAAACCACCAATACCATCAATCAACTGTCAATTTTCACTGAGTACATATTGTAAGAGACAAAATCTCTGTCAGTCATATACCACGATATGTGTGAAATCCCACCCACATGTCTTGAAACACTCATAAAACTCCAAAAGCTCCTTAGTTTGCGGTCATTTTCTGAATAGTGGAATACGTCAGATGACACAGAAACATACAAAAAGCAGAAAGCAGCATAAAGGTATCTGACATACAAACAGGTTTATCCAATTGTGAAATGACATGTACCCAATTTAGTATAACATATGTGCCTCAGCCTAAGCCCCTTTTGCCATTTTCAATATGC